TGTGATACTTAATGTTTAATTTGACACATAATCTAACTAGTCGGCAAAATAGTGTACGAACTAACTAGTAAACATTTCAAGACTGAGAGTAATCATGTCATTCAATACGTCCGTTGTAACAAGAGAAGAACAATAAAAAATATATTAGTTATATTAGTTTGAAGCGTCCGCAATTCCGTAATGTCTCCATATACATTTCTTTGTAGTTTCGGTCAGGGATGTAGCTTCTATCTTTTATAGCGGGTTGTCCGTAACAGGGGGCTACCCTAAAGGCGAGAGTTGATTGTATAGAGGTTAAGTTAATTTCAGGCATGCAAACCTGTTTATGGTGACGGTAAAAAACCATATGACCGCCACTCAGTTACAATGCTTCAAAGCATTTTGTCATTGTGGATGCATTGTGCCCATGCTTCTATGTTACAACGAGTTATATATTATCCTTTGAATTAAAAAGTACAACCCGAAGCCAGAAAAATACCAAGTAGTTCAGTGCTTTTGACGATAATCTTCCGTTAATTGATCAATACATCAATATATCAATCAAGGAAGATAGTAATGTGAAGATACCAGAACGAGTCCACACACTACATACCGATAATTCTTCCATGGCCAGTGTGATTGAAAGTGTTTAGTATCCAGGTTCCTCTTCTACCTGACGATTAGTACCCAGGTTTGGCTGCCACGCTAGGAATGCTGTAAGTATTCGAGGTATCGCTGTACGTAAAACAAACACAGAATTAATTACAGTATCAGTTGACATATTGAATCAAGGGAAAGTACTACTGCTGCCTTGAGCCTGTGGCAGCGAAAGACTGCGACTAATGGTGCATTTCGTTGCCGGATACTTAAATAAATCAATGAACAGAAATAATCGAAGATCACTCGAATTATGGTGCATCAAAGGAAACGAAGAATCCTTGCCCAGAGTGGATTCTTCGGTTCCTTTGATGTTCCTTTTTTTTACAATATGAATTTTGTTTTTATTAGCTTGCTCTACATGTAATGCAGTACTTAAACTACGGCAATTGTGTTTCCAGTACGTATTTCCTTGCCCTTGATTCAGTGGTCGAAGTTCTCCACCTTACGGGCCTTACACTTACGTTAAATCTATGTTAACGGTGTTATGAAAAATTCATCCTAGTCAAAGGTTTTTTTTCTCTCCTAAGAATGTCCCCCAGTCTTTTTTTCCCCAGTACCTCATCTTCCTTTTTGTACTCTTCTACTTCTGTTTCATCGCTTGGCGTGATATTTGGGTCTTTAGGAGTCGTAAAATCAAAGTGTGTAGCTCACTTGGTGCAAAGGCCAAGATTCACTCTCTTTTAATTAACATCTTTTTCGTAAATCGTTTCATATATGTAATATGAACGGCTCTATCCTACTCCCTATAGCTGTCTCGATGTTGTTTGGGGAAGTGAGGTCTCCCCAAATAGTTCAGCAGTTCAACGGGGTTGGGAAAACGCAATATATTTGGAACCTGTATCAGTTCGTAGTATTTTAGGAACGTTTTGTGTTAAATGTTGTCAATAATGTCATGGGTCGTTTCATTTTTTAATAGTTATTTCTGAGATAATAGTTTGTTTAAGTTCTAAGCTATTCAACTTCTTATCCCGTACAAAGCTATTTTCACCGGTGATCTCACCTCTAATCTCAACTGGATACGAGAAGTAAGAATGAATTTAATGAATAACGAAGTCCGTGCTTTTCAACGGGGAATGATAGCTCTAAAATTCGATGTCAAATCAGCAAGTTATTTTACCTCTTCGTTTTCTTTAGCATTTTCTAACTTTTTTCCAAGTGAACTGTAAAGCTTTTTCACTACAGCCACATTGGTTGTACCCAAACAGTAGTGAATATATTGCAGAAGAAAGCAACTCATATTCCCAACGAGGGAAACACCAACCGTGGCCGCCTTGACTTCACGTGAAAACGCTCTATACCTGTTACAGTTGTACACCCTGAAGCCTCGGCCAAACGATGACAACATATCAACACAACATATCGCAACATTGTTGGCCCAGCATTTGCAAGTTCCGGCCAAACGATCCCAATATTTCAGCACAACATATCGCAACATTGTTGGGAGCAACATTTTGCGCGCGTTTTGCCACCCTGTTGCGACATGTTGGGTATTGAAAATCGAGTTAGTGCGCATGTCCGGGTGCAACATTTTTGCACGAACCTGGCCAAACGACTACACGACTACAACATCATGCAACATCCACCAATGTTGCATGAAAAATTTGACTAGTGTGAAATTTAAGCCAACAACGCCCAACATGTCGCAACACGTCACAACAGGGTTGACAAACGCACGCAACATGTTGCGCCCAACAATGTTGCGATATGTTGGCAGTTGCGTTGAAATGTTGCGTTCGTTTGGTCGGGGCTCAACAAATTACAAGCATGACTTACTTCAACGGAGTCTTTTCGTTCGTGTTCGTTCAATTCCGTGTCAACAGCCTCTTCTTCGTTAATTGTTAGGTTTTCACATTAAACTGCATGCAATCTGTGGCATCCTCTCCAGTCTTATAAGATGGTCTTAATCTGATGATGATGTAACGACACTGGTAATAGCCAGTCCCAGTGCTAAAAGCGCTTCCATGTCGTTACATTAGAACTCTAATTATTTTAGTGGAGCATGAAAGGCAACTATATAAAGTGCTTCTCAAGAGACTGTTTTTAGAAAAGATGACATCACAAAGGAGGTCTGTGATTGGGCAGCGATTGCAATTTGCGTCAATTTTGGCTTTAGGATGTCACGCGTCACGATTTCTCTCAAAGTTTGCAAATTTTGAACAACACGTGACAAAAATTTTGAGGAGGTGACAAGATACTATATTTGCCGACTTATTAAGGGTTTCAGCTTTAAGAGATAAGCTCTCAGTTTTAGGGATTGTAAAAGTTTACCGGAACGGGTTTTGCTCCCAGTCTTCCAGTGCAAACATTTTAGATTTCAGTTTCCGTCATGTACGTTTTTACTTTTTTAGCTGTAGTTTATAGTCTGGCAGAATCTCATTTAATTTTCACATGAACGCCGATAAAAAAAGGGGATTGAGAGAAACGTAACAGCTCCCTGGTATATTTGCTCTTTTTACAAGTGCGCTAGAAATCTGAAAAACACACACTATAGTATTCATAGAACAAAAACGTCTTATGACAACTCTCTCCGTTCAACTCACCGATGCGTTCATGTAACGCGCATGAACAACAAAGAACATAAGAGTCAAAATAACATATCTCCGCACAAAGGAAAATGTTGATCTCAGGTTATAACCGTTTCCTCGAACAGTTCAAAGTCACAAACCTTTAAGTATCTAGTTCTATCGTATTTTCAGAGTACAGAATTATTTTCACTTGAATTAAACGAATAATTCAAAATAACGTACAGTTTCGCATACGTTTAGCCTGAGAAAATTCTAAATTTTTGTCCAATATTTGTACCAAACTTACGTCATCAGCTTACTACAGTATGACCGAACTTAACATTTCTAACTCTTTTTATCAATATTATAAAGGGCTGTTAAGTCAGTAGTTACAGCACAGTCGATTCAATTAGTATTTATACTTTTCGAAAAGGAAAATTGTCTCACTTCTGCGATTGCTGTTGAAGTTCCTATTAGGTCCTTTTTGGAGTTGCGAGTAAACTCAAGTTAAGTACATGATTCACTGTTACAGTAACTAAGTTCAGCAATGAGATCGGCTGTGATGGAATGTTATCGATCATTGATGTTCCTTAGGCAACGCGTAAGACGGGGTAAAATTAAAGTTACCTCACAAGAGAAACACGCGATCATCAGTATCAACTAAGCATCACAGTTCGCAAATGTTTTCAGTTGGGTTTGTAGACGATAATTCGGACCACCATGCACCCATCATCTCCGTCCGTTTTTAGACAGAAGTGGGTATCTCTGCGTTCATTGAATTGTGCCGTTTCAGGATTTTGACGGTTCTTCTACTGCGCCTAGTAAATCGTTCGTTCCAGCAGTGTTTACAATTAGCTGTCTTTAAACGTGCTTCATTTATTGTCTTTCATTCGTTCTTTAAAGAGGGCTGCAAATTCCGTGTTGAGTACCCTCTCCATGTCTTCCTTTGTAATAACAGTTTCTGTGCTTTCTAACTTTGCTTGGAATACTTTGGATGTTTTTTCTGCAATACTCTTTAAGTCGCCTGTCTTCAGCCAGTCCAAAATTCCTTTCAATCCTGCTTTTCCTTCTTCAACGTTTTCTTTGGCTATTTGTGTCTGTTCTTCCCTCATAAGTTTCATCACTCTTGTATTAGGAATTGCCAAGGAGGGCTCCATGCCATTCCTCGTTCTGTCAAAGAAAACCAGGGCCAGGGCAAGAAAGTCGTCATCTAAGGAAAGTTCCTTGACTTCTTCCTTCACAAATATCTTGAATTCTTCCTCACCCTTCCTATGGTCTTCGCTTAGGAACCACAGTTTGCACAGATTTCGTGCAAGCATCGATTGGTAAGCATTCATCGCGACATTTAACATCCTCTCGATGTCGTCGGAGTGCTCTTGCATCCTTCGCACCCTTGCTATGACTTCTTTGCACTTACCCACAAACACTGAGTGGAGAGAACTCAGGAGCACCCTTTGATCTTTCTTAGGGAGGTTTTCGTCTTGTAATCTTAAGAGATGGCTTTCCAAGTGTAGACCAATATCTTGAAGATATGTCGATGACAAATAACTCATCGACTGAAGCCTTTTCAGTAGACCTACTGTCTTTGACAAAATGGCTCTTCTCACGTCTTCAACAATGACAGCGGCTTCGTTAAGACTGGCAGGATCTTCATACTGCAAAAGATTGCTCTGTGGCATGATGTAATGCGGCAGATGATGTGCCTCTAAACACTCTTTTAGGCGATCCAACATGAATAAAAGGCAGATGGCGGAGTTTTCTTCCTTCCAAAAATCCTCTTCTTTCGTCTCGCATTCCCAAAACAACAAGTTCTTCAAATAATACGTCGAAATCGTATCAGGAAAGTAAAACTTCTTGATCATCTTCAACAAAACCATCACGTGCCTTTGCACGGGAGATACATTCTCTCCAAGCTTATTTTCAGCCAGTGAAAAGGATGTTCTCCATTCCGTTTGATCCATGACCCGTTTTCCTTCGTTGTTGTCCGTCACTAACGCTGTGGAACTGGTCACTGACAGTTCTGGGTTTTGATAATAATACAAAGATTCCACTGGTTCATCGAGGCGCTTTCCCCTACCGACGGGCGCCAAATGACAACCGCTGTCGAATATCTGCTGGACCAGCTCAGGTGAAGGCCAACCACTTGGGCGGGGTCGGACCAACCATTCCATAGCAGGCTCAGGCCACGCGGTAGGGTACGTGAAAACCCTTGTCTGATCTTCCTCATAATTTGAAAAGCCATGAGACTGAAGTTTACGCACAGGACCGTGGAGACCGTATGACCATGTAGTCTTTTGGCCATCAAAACGTTTTTCTTCACGGCCATCCAACGGATTATCAGTCTGAGGCAGCAGAAACGAATGATGAAGATAAGAAACATTCTTGTAACGGGGGCGATGATCTTTCCACTCACTGGTCAGCATGAGTTTTGCATATCTTGGGTCGTCTGCGGCATGTTCAACTGTAAAAATTGGGATCACTTTCTTTTCATCATTTTCAACGAAAGGCTCACTGGCTGTCATCGCGTCACGGTCCGGATTCCAATTTGCATCCATCACCTCGAGAGGGATGGCATGGTTCACATCATTCTTTCTAAGTACAAACTGAGGGATACAAAACCCCTCAACTCGACTTCCGGCATCTTTAGTGGCTTCTTGTGTACTGCTGATATACTCTGGGTCTTCCCGCTGTGCTTCAATGTTTGCTTGCCACCCAAACCAATCTGCGTAAACATATTCCACTGGGAACATGCAATTGATGAGTGCAGAAAAAGGCTGAAGCCATACGCCTGATGTTTGGTCAAAGTTAAACGAGGAGTTCTGTAGAGAGAATAAAACTATAATTCACACAACACTGCTCTTAGCTCGGCGACGCAAAATTAAAATTGCGTGACAGTTAGCCTCCGTAAACAGGCACATCATGTGGTCATAAAATAACCCCCCAACCTGCCCCCACCCCCGAAACATCACTACAACGCCCGCCGTTGCCCTGAGTCGGGCCATAATTCATGTATTCCCTAAATGTATTCTTGGCTTATCTAAAAAGAAAGTATATGAACTGTAGGCCAGCCTCGTTCTGGCTTGCTATCAAACGTCCGTGTTAAATTGAATAGAACATATCCTGTAGAAATCAGTTGTAATTATATAATATTATTATTAGTACAGTGGTTACCAGTAAGTGTTGTATGTAGCCTAATGTTAATGTGGGAAAAATAAAAACGTATTGTAGGTAAGTTTATCGTAAGTATTGTATTGTAAGTAGTTTATTGTAATTAACGTATTATAGGTAAATTTACTGTAAGTATTGTATTGTAAGTAGTTTAATTGTAATTATGTATTGTGTGTGAGCTTTTTCAAAATAAAAGGTCACAATTGGAAAAAACGTCCGTGTTAACTTGCACGTTTAGTAGTCGTCACTAGGTCACGAAATTAACTAGACTGCGAGCAGTCTCTTTTGCTCGGAAAGGGGAAAAAGCGTGCGAGCGTGACTGCGAGCGTGACATGAGAGCGAAGCCGCGAGCCGCGAGTAGCGCGGGCGTCGGAAGGCTTCCTATGTCACGCTCGCAAACTCACGACCGCTCACTCGTGTCCTCGTGTTGCGTTCTACTTTTAATACGTTCTCCCCTACGGAATTTCCAGTAAAAGAGAGACTGCTCGCAGTTTAGAAATTGACCCACGTTCCAGTCTTCAGACATGAATGGAATGTTTCTGCTCAATAAAAACAATTCCTTCCGATGAAAACAAACGACACTAAGCCTACACTAGTCTAATTGAAACGATATGTTTTCTATACCAATCACACTTCGTCGATATAGTAACTCAGTGTTGTTGCAAATCAAACATTGTGTGTTCACAGGTATGTTCTGGTATGTTCAGTGAGTATTCTGAGTGTATGACTGTCGGCACGGTTCGATTACCAAAGTCACTCAAGCTGTGAATTGCATTCGTTATTTGAAATTCGGTTCGGTTTCGTTGACTTAGGGCGGACCGACTCTATTTCCCCAATCTTAGTTTAGACACTGACGTAGGTATTAGAACAGCTTAGATCTAGAATACGTCGACATACGATAAAAAAGGACAGATATTTGGCAATACGTACCGATTCTGCCATGGCTGGTGTTTTTTTAGCCTCCTACGCAGAAGCTCTTTGGGCTCGTCACGCATTCTTGCCTAAGGAGGTTAGTGCTTTTTCGCAAAGCCTCGCGGGAATAGAGAGTGTGCATTGTCACGTAATTAAAAAAAAATCAAAAACCATCCAGTGGATAAAGTCAAAAAGTTGTGATATTATAGACGATAAATAAAGAAGACAGTTCTCCAAGTTTAAGGTGTGTGCTTTGTCCCAAAGTTGAGATATTCGTCGAAATGTTCCGCGCAAAATTATAGAGCCTAGTGTGGAGCCGCCATGTTGGAGGACCTCCTTAGTCCTCCAATATGGCGGCCGGGAAATAGTGTAATTTGGCTATCTCAGACAACTGATTACCTGAACCGAACCAAAAATCCATTTACACAAGCACTTTTCCTAATACTTTAACTCCTAAAAAGGCGAAAAATCACGTGATATATGTATTCTTTTCGACAAACGCACCGCCATAACTGCGAAATTCAAAATGCGCTGGTTTCTAAACGAAGGACGCTATTGAGCTGGAAAGTTGTAAACAGATATAAATTTAGTACCTCTTACGTCTGATGAGGATAAAACCTTACGTGGCTCTTTAGTTTTGGATTTGAGAATTTAATGACGTCACGTGCACACACTCTATAAGACATCGCTTAAACTGAGCGAACGCAGCCCACCCATCGAATATCGAGCTCGTTTACTGAGTGTGTTTTTTTTTTCCATTCTTCCCCCTGTATACACGCGGTAGACTCTTCACAGGCTCTCTAGTCTCACGCGATTTTATCCTCGCGTTCAACGATCGAATATAAAAGTACGAGAA